TTAGTGTTTAGGGTTTAGGGTAGCTGAGGAAGAGACTTTGGTCGACCCGACAGCCCACGAGCTGGAATTCGATTTTGGACACGGCTCGCCGGTTGCATCAGGTTTAAGTTAGGGTTGAGGGCTTAGGGTTTAGGGTTTGGTCGGGGTTCAGCAGGGGAATTGTCAGTAATGACTCTTACAGAACCCTTGGAACGACACTCATAAGAGCCTTTTCCAGCACCCCTAAAATACCCTTATAAATGCTTTAGCTCCTTCTCATAACTCTTTCACGAGCTGTATAAAAACGCTTATGGTATGATACCGTCTAGAGCTGCACCCTCATAAACCCTAGACCGTAAACCCCTAAATCCTAAACCCTAAACCCTTGAAGCCCTTTACACTAAAGGTCTGCAGTTCCGGCTCCTTCAGCGCCCCGAAAGCTTCGCCTCGCAACGTTTTGGGACGAGCCTTGACGAATGCGGAGAAGGAAGCGAGAACGCACAGGGAAGTTCCCTAAGTGAGGGTCCCTTTTTTAGGTGCGGCCCCCTTGTAAAGAAGCGCCCTAATATGGAGAGCTACCCAATAGGATTTCGTAAAGGTCTCCTGAAAGGGTTCTCTGTGGGGCTAGGTGTGGGGTTGGGATTTAGGGTTTCAGACGGTTTGGGGTTGGGACTCGTAAGGTCACTCTTCGGGTCCTTGGTAGATTAGTTCCCTGCGTGTTCACATACTCAGAATTGCATTTATGTGCAGATCCGATGTGTAATCTGTGCGGATGCGTGAATACGTATGGTGACACGAACGTATGTATGCATGTGTGTGGTTTTTGTGTCTCTGTCTCTGTGTGTGTGTGTGTGTGCAGGTATTCTGTAACAACAGATGCAAACCTATGCATACAAACTCAGACAGATACGCTTCTACATGGAGGATATGGCTTTGTCTTTTTGTCAGAAATTATGTGGCTGCGCCTGCCTGAATGAGCGCGGGCAAGCATGTGCTTACCTGTGCCTGCACTGAAACCTCTCTGCCTGCCTACCTGCATGCCTGCCTGACTTACCTGCCTACCTGGTGTCGCGCCAGGATTAGGTGTCAGTTGCGGCAGGGATCAGGCATAAGTGTTGCGGCAGTCTGGCAGAAATCGCACGCGCTGGGAGGTGACTTTGAAGCTTCGAAAACAGTCGGTGTCAAACGCTGTCTACGCTCATACCTATCCAGGTTCCGCAGCTCAGGGAGCTCCAACAAACCTGCCGAAGTCTGAACCCTGCAGCTTCTGTAGTTCCTACCCCGAGGTCTCTTTCGTGCGCGCCCACGGAGAGAGGGCGGCGCACAGGCTGCATGGTGCCTTGGACACGGAAAAGCTCCGTGGGTAGCGTCCGGAGATGGCTTGTTGGTGAGACGCTCCGGGGTCTCCTTCGGCTTCGGAGATGTTCGTTTTGCATCGTGGAAGGTGTGCAGCTAGTGATTCAGTCTTTAGCTTTTCAGACTACCGTTGACGATATGAATCCTGCCTTACTCATACTAAAGAATACACCGTAATTCCCATAGTTTAGGGTCCTTAAGATCTTGCAGGATTTAATCGCTGCCAGCAGACAGATGACGTCCTTCGGAAGAGCAAGTTTCTGATCGAAGCTGAATCATCCTGAACTCCTGAGCCCTAAATCCTAAACCCTAAGTTGCTGATCGAAGCTGAATCATCCTGAACTCCTGAGCCCTAAACCCTAAACCCTTAGAGCCTGCAAGCAACTCAGATGGGAGGAAAAAGGGGCCTTCAACAATGCAACCTAAACCCTAAAACCTAAACCCTAAACCCTAAACTCCCTAAACGCCCCAAACCCCCTAAACTCCCTAAACTCCCTAAACCCTAAACCCCCAAGCCCCTAAGCCCCTATTCCCCTAACGTTCTCACAAGGTCTGGGATGGGGCCGCCGTGCTCTCTGGGATGCTCGCTGCGGAAGGGAGATCCGTGGAGCATCCGGGTGCTTCTGGCTGCTTTAGGGTTCTAGGGGTTGAGGGCTTTAGGGGTTTTTGGGGTGTAGGGTTTCAGGGTCTACGGTTTTGGGGGCTTTAGGGCAGAGGGTTTTAGGATTAGGGGTTTAGGGTTTAGGGTTTAGGGTTTTGGCGACGGGTGTTTTGGGGGGCGGGGGAAGTGGGCTGGACGGTCTGCATGGGAGTGGTGTAATCGAGTTCCGGGGCTCGGTATAGTGAGGCAGAATCTTGCAGTGATGCTGGAGTTCAGGAAGCTTCGGCCCACACGGTTTGCCTAGAGGCCTACACCCTAAACCCTAAACCCCTACACCCTAAACCCTAAAACCCTAAAACCCTACACCCCTAAAACCCTACAGCCCTAAAGCCCTAAACCCCACGCCCTAAACCTATGAGTCTCATGTCCTCAACCCTGCAGCCTCAAGCCGAATCTCGAAACCCCCTGAACCCCTAAACACTACAAGCATCAAGATCGAATCCTTACAGTAGGGTTTAGGGTTGAGGGTTTAGGGTTGAGGGTTTAGGGCTCTGTACCACCCCTTTATAGACCCCTAGAAACCTTCAACTTAGCATTCTCAAAGAACCCTTAAAGGTACTCTTAAGGGAACCCTCAACGGAACCCTTAAAGGTACCCTTACCCTTAAAGGAGCCCTCAAAGGAACCCTTAAAGGTACCCACAGAGACTCCCTTAGACGTGCCCTTAAAGGAAGCCTTACAGAAGGCCGGGAAGTGCTGGGAGCCTGGGCATCCGCCGCAGGGCGCGGGATTCTGGAGCTCTTTGGCTGGGATTTGGCTTAGGGTGTAGGGCTTCAGGGTTCAGGGTTTAGGGTTTAGGGGTTTAGGGTTTAGGGGTTGTGGGTTTAGGGGGTTTAGGGTTTAGGGGTTTAGGGTTTTAGGTTTTTAGGGTTTAGGGTTGGGATTTTCCCAGGGCCTGTGTTTTGTTAGCATGGCCTTTTTTGAATAAGGGGCTTAGGATTTTGGATGTGTGTGTCTCTTGAAATCAGGGGTTGAGGGCTCAGGGTTGGGGGTACAAGCGACGTTTTCTTGAACAGTGTTTCTTGACGGGCTGGTCCTGGATGTCTCGTTGTTCCAGATCCTGGGCGTGGGGTTGATAGATTTTAAGGCAGCTCGTCTCCCTCTCCTCGCCCGCACTCTTAGACTCCTCGCAGATATGGTGCGGGTGTGCACCACATGCTTGGGGTGAGGGGATGTTCTGGAGATGGCCACTGAGCACACTCCTGGGAACTTGAAGACTCTCAGATCGAGGATGTTCGATGTAAGTACGGTGTTTTTTTGACCAGCCCTGTAGAGAACCACAAAGGGCCCTAAACCCAAAATCTTGCACCCTTGAGTAAAGCCTGTGACAGAATGAGGCTGGGTGCCGGCGAGGGGGGCCTCCCCGGTATGGTGGCCTCCCGGGCCTTCGGCTGCCAGGCCCACTTTCTGGTAGGCTTGGGGTGTTTGGGGTGTTTGGGGTTTCGGGTTTAGGGTTTAGGGGTCAGGGGTCAGGGGTTTAGGGGTTTAGGGGTTTAGGGGTTTAGGGGTTTAGGGGTTTAGGGTTCACGAGTTTACGGGTTAGGGGTTTAGGGGTTTCGGGGTTTTGGGCTTAGGGTTTAGGGTCTGGGGGTTCGCCCAAGCCCGACGACCCAAACCTTTAAACCCTCAACCCAATTCCCAGTGTGGCACCCAGAATCCCTAAATGCTAGGTCCCAAAGCCCTACACCGTCACGCATGCTGACCAGGCGATCCTGACAGACTTGGAGGATGTCGTGCCGCAGCTGGCGGAAAATGTGGCGCTGAACTCGTCAACTGCCCTTGTCCAGGCATGCTTAGGGTCTTCAGGGTTTCTCGGGTTTGGTTTCAGGGATTCACGATTTTAGGGGCTTCAGTTTTTTTTTTGGGGGGGTCGGGGTTTGGGGGAAAGGCGGTCAAGGATTCGTAATTTCGGGCTCCAGCCATGTAGGATGATGCATGATGCCCTAAACCCTAAACCCTAAACCCTAGAGATGATGCATGATGCCAGAGGCACAGATAAGTCGCCTTCGTGTCTCGGCAAAGGCCCTGCAGTGGGGGGAAGATGCTGCAGTGGCCGCTCGGAAGGCAGAGATCCCTCCCCTTTTTCTGGGTTTAGGGGTTAGGGTTTAGGGTTCAGGGGTTAGGGTTTAGGGGTTAGGGTTTAGGGTTTAGGGTTTAGGGGTTAGGGTTTAGGGTTTAGGGTAGAGACGCCAAGGTCTTGACGGATAATTCTCACAGGTCACAGTTCTGTAGCCCTAAACCCAGAAAAGCCATACCTTAAACCTTGGAGAGCTCTTCCGTGCCCTAGACCGAAAAAGGAAGATCTCCCTAGCAGAAGCCGTGTAACTTGTTTAACTGTAATTTGCTATTACAGCCCTCAAACCCAAAACCCTTATAATTAAACCCCTTAGAATCCCTAAACCCTAAACCTTAAACCCTAAGCCCTAAACCCCACCCTTAAACCCTAAACGCTGAACCCTAAACCCTGAACCCTAAACCCTATTCTAATCATTCCGGTTTTTGTTCCGGGAGGGTTCCGGGGTGTTCGAGGAGTGGCGGGGCCTGCATCCGCCCTTCGGCCTCCTCCTTGCCGCGGACCCGTTTTCTTTTTTTCTTGGGTTTAGGGTTTAGGGTTTAGGGCTTAGGGCTTGAGGTTTAGGGTTTAGGGGTTAGGGCTTAGGGTTTAGGGCTTAGGGTTTAGGGTTTAGGGTGGGGTATTTGGGTTTTGGGTGTCAGATTTAGGGCTCTAGGGCTTAAGGTCCAGGGCTGGGGGCTTTAGGGTTTGGGGTTTGGGAGGAGGCGGAGCCTGGTTCCTCCGCAAGATGTATAGCCTCATAATCCGACGTGGCAGCCCTTGCGGATTGGGGCTTCTTCATTCTGCTTGCCTTCGGAATTTCCTTTGCTATTCCTTAAAACCAAAAACGTTTCCAGGTTCAGTAAAGTTCCTCGGGGCCCTAAACCCTAACCCCTAAACCCTAAACCATGCAAGCGCGGCAGAAGATCGCCCTCTGCCAGGACTGTCTCTACGACACGGAGAACGTTCCGCCCTTGGTGGATTCCCTCTGCGCCCTCTCCGGCCCGCAGAGCGAGGCCGGGTCGGGGAGGCCTCCCGCCCCTGAGAGTGCAAGTGAAGGGATGGGGAGAACGTTTTTGTATTTTCGACCGTTTCAGTTTCTGGTCTTTTGCTGTTTCATTCAAAACACAGACTTGCGTAGTTCCGTCTGCAGAGCTCGAAGCCCAAGCAGGAGCCTTTTGCAAAAGTGAAGGCCTCCGAAGCCTGCGTGCGACCTCTTCCCAAGACGACGAGCACCTTAAGCCCTAAACTAAACCCTAACGTCGTCTTCCCGGCCTAAGCCTTCCTTTCCTGCAGATCGGAAAATGTTGGCTCGAACCTGGAATTCCAACCCAAAGCCCCAACCATCCTCAACCCTAAACCCTAAACCCTTGAGCGGGTTTTTGACCTTTGCTTTCGGCGGAGTGAAATGGCCATTGCACTTAAAAAAACCCTAAAC